TCAGTCAGCCACATTCTGTTGGACTGCCCACTTTATCAACGAGCACGCAGAATTTACCTCTGTTGTCGTCTTCGCTCCGCTACTCTCTCTTTACCTTCCCTTCTCGCTGATGGACCCACCTTTCATCCGGACTCTCTCATTGACTTTTTGACAACAACTGACTTACTTCACAAATTCTGATACCTTCAGCCCTTTCTACTTCAATCTCTTGCTACCCTCTACCCCTGTACTATCCCCTGCCCCGCTGTTTTCTGTAACCTGCTGATCATCCCTCCTCCCTTATGCCATCCAATACCCTCACTTCCTTCCCTACCCTGCAGCGCTGTATAGCCCTTGTGGCTTAGCGCTTCTTTTTGATTATAATAATAATAATAATAATAATAATAATAATAATAATAATAATAATCTGAAGCTGCCTTTCACAGATAAGAAATACACTTAAGGTTTTATGTGTAGTCCCACAATAAGAAGTCCTGGTCAGTGAAGAGAGGCTTCTGGTGCATGAAGTGATGTGCACTACTCAAAACTTGTTTTAGGGAGCATCACGTCAAAAAACATCGAAAACAATAATGATGAACATGTGGACTATTGTATGTAACCATGAAACAATGAAAAAATAAATTATTAAATAATTTTAGGTGATAGAAATTACAGCAATTTGATGCTACAGTATGAGCAATTTCTGCCACCAGCACAACTAGGGTTGAGGGATATTATCTTCAAAACCCTGTAGGATGGCAGGTTCTTAACTTTAAAATAGGAAATAGTACATTTGAGTTTCCTTGAAATATCATAATTCTGAGTACCGGAAAATAGTGTGAACAGGACAGCCTCCATTACAGGAGATTAGAAGTTCGTGAAATGTGGGATGTGCAGAGAAGTTTACATTCGTTGTTTTCCACATTAATGCTCAAAGACCAGCAACACACTATCTCTTTGTGACACAGCTGGCATTAAATCCAAATGAAAGATGAGGTGCAAGAAATCATAGGCCTGAAATGTTTGTAATGCACACTGGGAGTTAGACTTGAGCACTAATACATAATGAGGTGGTGGCCATACAAGCAATGCAAAGGAAAGTAACATACAATGAACAAAAAACCCGGTTTCACATAAACACACTGAAAACACATGATAAGTAGGCAGTATCTCCACCTACTTACAGCATATACAGTGGACCCCCGGTTAACGATATTTTTTCACTCCAGAAGTATGTTCAGGTGCCAGTACTGACCGAATTTATTCCCATAAGAAATATTGTGAAGTAGATTAGTCCATTTCAGACCCCCAAACATACACGTACAAACGCACTTACATAAATACACTTACATAATTGGTCACATTCGGAGGTAATCGTTATGCGGGGGTCCACTGTAAATAGGTTGAAAGTTTTTTCTTTCTCTTTGGGTCACCCTGCCTCAGTGAGAAATAGCGACATGTAAAAAAAAAAAAAAAAAAAATTCTGACTATGGGAAAACACAGAGATTATGGTTACCTTCCAGCCATATACAGCCTCTCCTTACTTAGCAATGTACTCATTAACTGATGACTCGGACTTACGACAGGCTCTCTGACCAGCATGCATGACTAAATAATGATTATTAAGAGATGATTTCTTCTATTCTGTTTATTACAATATACAGTACACTACTGTATAAAGATTAAAAAATATACTAAAAATTTTATAAATGGTGCAATGGTGACACTTTATACCCTATTTCTGTCTCATTCCATTGTTCCAGTCTACCAAATGCATAGCTATTTTGCTAGTATTCCTCCTATTCTGTTGACTGAGTACAAGAAACCGCTCATTTACCTATTTCAACTACCCAACAAAGTGGTCAGAAATTTGTAATTTGGCCAATTTCACACAAATTTCAAGAGATGCCAATTTCAAAATAGGGTCCAGAATAAACAATGCAGACATTCCTAGCACTAAAATAACATTTTCTCTGTTCATTAGTCACATTTACAGGCCCCTCTTATATTATGCTTGCTTTCCATTTTGAATTTTTATTCACAAAAAATAGAAGATTTACTGTTATGCAGACTACTGCATTATTGTAATAATTATATAAATAATGTCAACCCATTCGTGACTGCATATTAGACCGGCCAACTGGACACACCTTGGACGGAGATGTCATTTGTTTACTCTTGAACATTGGCAAAAATCTAATATTTCCTCTACTTTGAGCTCAATTTTAAAATACTTTCCAGTGTGAAACCAATCAAAATTATATCTATTTCTGTAATATATCTTCCATTCTATCAAATGAGACCAAAAAAACTAGAATACAGCCATACAAACCATACGAAAATACACTGCAAAGTCACTGTTTTACACCAAGAGCACAGTTGCCTTTTTTCTCATTATGAACTATATGCTGCAGGATTTTTTTTATATAGTGAACATTTACCACACAGACCTATTCTCTCATATGTAGGCCCAAACTTACTGGTCACAATTTATGAGTCAGCTGAGCTCGTGCCAACCGGCAGTGGCTTCAAAGCCACCTTATCTTTTATGGACAATGTATGGAGTGTGTGTTTTACACAATGAGAAGCATTTCTTTTATTCATTGGAACCATGGCTAGGGCTAAAAGTGAGCAGGTCATAACAATAAATGGAGAAAAAGAAATTGGAATGACTTATGCAGCAAGTAATGCCACCAAACAGCGGCAGGTCGGTGTGGCGACCACAGAAATTTGAAATTATGCTAGCCGAAATTAGTACCGGATTACTGATGGAACCTGATTACTGATTGCTGGATTAGTGATGGCCAACCTGTATATATTATGAGAATTCTCAACAATTTAGGACTCATTTCCTCAAAGGTTAAATGTTCCTTGATCAGTACAGTAGTGCCATGGCTCCACCTCTGCACATCATCTTTACTTACTGAGTGTTAATCACTCAATGTGCCTATCTTATTTACAATATACATTTTATCTGTTATCACTATAAGGAATGGGCATTGTTCTACTCCACCTCTGAACCGGTTTGAAATCTTGTTAATGTCCATGTAAAGTATCATAAAGATGTCAGTAGTGTACAAGAATGATCATTTGTAGTTTCAGGAGGCAGAGCTATGCTCCTAGTATCACATCTACAATACTTAATCTTTTGTTTTAATTTCTTGGTTTTAACACTTCTCATTTTATTCCAGCCTAGTGTGTTTGAGAATACTAATTTTTCAGTTTATAACTTTTTTTTTTCTTCCTGCTGATGTTGACAAGAGGTCAACACTCCTTTAACATTTACATGGGGTTAATTTCAGCATCATTCATTATGAGTCACTGATGGCAATTATAATTTTTCACATCGTTCTTTGCTGCTGGTATCTTACCTCAGGGAGCCATTTTCTAAGTCTTATCTTTTGATTTTTTAAGGTATGGACACCACACCATCGAAGAATATTCCAATTCTGGCCTATTATACTGTTAACACCTTTCACAGCATTTCCCCCACCCATATTCAAAAGCTATTTAAGAAACTTACCAGTTAAGTACACAAGCTTTTCACAATTTCATTTCTTGTACGATGATCTGATGTAACAAATAGTAATTCTATATGGAGCATCTTACATATTCTTCCAATTTGGTAATTATGTATTATTTTTGTATCCCATTTTTCATATAGAGATTGTGTTGAACAAAATAACCTGGCTATATTTTGCTCTTGTTCACTGTACATTTTTTTTTAGTCTTAATTCCTTCAGTTTACTCCATTCATCAACTACTCTACTTGATAAATACCACCTGTTTAAGTATGCCTTCTTATCCTCTACTAAGATGGTTTCAAAGATTTCCATTTCTCACATCATTATTATATTAAAATAACAAGCTCTAAACCATTTTCTATCTCACTCCAACAAAAAGCTCAGTACTATCAATCCTCTTCTGTAATTCTTTATTCTGTAATCCACTTCACATCAGATAATTAAACATTTTTGAAGCTCAATCTCCACACCTATAATTGGTGAGCTTTGCTTGTCAAGCAATGCCTGTATTGGGAGTGGTTTTCTTAATCCACCCCCCAAAAACAAGAATGGTCATAGCGTAATATAGTCAATGGCTCTCCACTACCGACAGATCATGGATGGGATGGATGCACCAGGTGACATCTGCTTTATATTTCCTATTACAAACTTTCATTCTTATCTATATTTGTGTCCCAATAAACACCAATTTTGCTTGCAAAGCATACTTCTTCCTATTTACTAATATCATCCTCTATCAACCACCAGAAGACTTACACCTACAACACACAGAGCACTATGCTAAAGCTCTCCTGATACACTAAGGGCCCAATAAGGTGCAAAATGGAGATTTCTTTCCAAGACTAAACTTTTGTTGTCATCAACAACAGCAAGACATTTAAACAACATAAATATGATATCCCTTTGTATTTATACTTCACCAATAATTCCTGCATGCACTTAATTAAGTTGCTCAGTGAAAATGTTAAAGCTATTAAAATTTGCCAGAGCTGCATGACAGTACTTCTTTTAGTAATCGAGATATATTATTTATATTCTCAAATTTGCCTATCTGCATGCTGGGTTTGAAGATCAAGGTACTTTGCACCATAAATACACAAGCCCGGCAAATCTTTGTATACAGTAACCAAATCTTTCTGGCATCTAACCCTCTTGATTTATTTACTTTCAAGTTGTATATAAAAAAATGCTGTAGGTAATAATTTGTATTACATATTTGTTACTGATCCTTTGCAATACAGTCTACTAAACCTAATACAAAATGTTAGATTAATACTGTTTGGGAACTATTGGAATTCAGAATGCAGATCCCTAATTAATAAGTAAATATAAGTTTGGCATTCAGCATATTCATCATTTATAAACTTCTCATGGACTGACTCCCATGCCACACTGCATTAAAAAAACAAATGCAAGTAGTGTTTGATGAGGGATGAATAATTAATACCAAATGCTCATGGAATTTTTGTTTCCTTTTTGAAAATAATCGAAGTTAGGATTGGTCAAGAGCTTTATTTTCTGTCGCTGTTAGAGATGCCAAGACAAAAAGATATATTTACCAATCAAATTAATGGCAAAATACAAATGGAAGTATACAATTATTCTTAACCTATATAATTACTTCCTGCTAATCAACAGTAGATCATAATTTATTTTTTAAGCAGCTTCAATTATAAAAGATAATTATATGTTCAATATAGAGGACAAACCCCAAATGTCTTACTGTGTTGCTATTCATTGGTGTAAAGACCTTACTTCAAAATTGTAAGATGGCATGACATAATGAAAATATTTAAATATTACATATAATATCTTATGAATAATAATTTGTATTATCTTAAAATAATCTTCAACCCAAGCCTTCAACATATTTCCTAGGTTGTTTTTGTAATAAGTAACCCATTTGTCTAATGTAAATAATTGTACATACTTTCTCTAGTCTTAATAAAAATATCATGAGAATCATAGACTATTTCTACTTCACATTTGTATAAACTCAGACACCTTTTAAGGATCACTACCAAAATGAACAAAGGTGAAGCTAATATTTATTATGGCAAGATTCCTAAAAAATTATTTTACAAAAACATTATTAATATAACAGTTTCTTAGTGTACTATGCAATATAATGGACAAGCTGTACAAGTAACATTCATAATGTAAGGGATTTGTCGAGCAATGAAGAAATCTGCAAAAAAATAGAAAATCAAAATTCTTTTAGACCTTATATATGATGGGCAATACAGTCTCAGATTTCCATTTCTGAACTGTCTATCTCACTATACTTGCATTATTATTTAATTCTGATAAGATAAACTCTGTGTTGAGGTGGTGTTACCTTATTTATATAAACACATTTTTTTGAATCATTAACTTAACTGGGACTGGAAATAAGCTGTGATCAAATTGCTAACACAATATAAGATCTTTGCAATGAAAAAGCAATTTTACAATATGTCAAATGTAAACATATAGCTCATTCTCGTTTTAATGAACCATTCCCAAGCAGCAGAGGAAATAAAGCAATTATACGTACAACAGAAAAATATACAAAGCAATTCAACTGTTCAAGCAACATGCATCGAGAGGTTTCTCTGCTTAGCTTCTCAAAATGTGAGCTGCATAAAATATATCATTATTTGACACAGGAAGTAAATCTCTATATGATGCTTTGGAAGTTATTATTTAAGAATAATTTCAATTACAGATACAAAAAGATGATCTCCAAGCTTTTTGTCACCTGAGAACACCTATGAGGCTGTCTCAGATTAAGATGCAAAAGCTCAATGTCACAATGAACACAGTAATGCAGTAAGAGCAAGTGTTCTTTAGTTTTATTATAAATTGCTTTTTAAAATTTTAACAATTATTCTTTCTTTATATAACTTTTGTCCAACTCGAAGAAATCCTACCGAGATAACTTATTTAATCTTATTTAATTTTCACCAAAATGGTTATTAATAATATAACCAACATATTTCTTATTTTCTAAAATCCACTTCTTATTATTTTTTTTTAAAATTAAAGGGGGGTCAAAAAAAATTTTACCTTTATTCCTCCTCACTTCTTCCAAATTTTTTCCTACTTTTCTCAACTTAAAACCCCCCTTTATCCGGCATATACTTCCCATTAAAACTCAAACCCGGCCTCCTTCCCTGAACCCATTATAAAGTAACTTGGCACCCCCAAAAAAAGGCCTGGGTTTTAGTTTTTCCAAAAACTCCTACAACTCTTCTGCTATCCAAAACATAGGTTGGGTTAATAATTTTGACCAGGATAACAGCTACATCTCTCTTGCAATCAGTATGTGATAAAGTTACTTTCAAGCCAATAACCTTACATTTACTGCTCAAGCAGGACACCTTCTTATTCTTAAGCATACAAGTCTCATGCAAAGCAGGCAAAGCACATGTTATTTCATTCATTACCTCATCATCGTCATCTGCCAGCACACTGACTTGACTTTGTTCTACAGGTTGGTCCTTCAACCGTTGTGTCATTTTGTATGCTGCCTGTCGCTTTGCAAGTTTCTTACTTTTACCTGTACCTGTTAACAGAAATATACAAGAATAGGCCATAGTCATACTATACTATTAAAAGCATCAGTACAAATATAGTAAGCAGTACAAAAAAAAAAAAAAAAAAAAAAAAAAAAAAAAAAAAAAAAAAAAAAAAAAAAAAGCTGCTAGTTCGGAAGATGCACATACCAATTTCTTTTGTATTGCCGATGGTGCAAGCAATGGAGAAAGTTCGCTCGTGAGGGAAACCCTCCTCCGATGTAAGATCGTATGTAGGAGGGGGCCACCGACGCGCCATGCACAGCTCCTGTAATACAAAATTTAAATTTCTTAAAAGTGGCAAAAAGGGTTATCTAAAATAAAGGATGGAACTGGTGTATAATGTGGGAGGTTAGAAAAACCTGCAATTGAAAATTGCCTTAACCCTTTAACTGTCAAAATAATCTATGCATTTCTGCTAGAATTCAGAAATTCAATGCACTATTTTCCTGCATTCAAATTTGGCACCAGAGGCCTGACAGGCTTAGCCAGTATAGAATGGGTCTGCACACTCAGTGAGTGACACATTAAATAAAACCTGAGTAGTAGTAGCTTGGTAGACAGCAACCACCCAGGGAGGTACTACCTTCCTGCCAAGTGAGTGTAAAACGAGAGCCTGTAATTGTTTTACATGATGGTAGGATTGCTGGTGTCTTTCGTTCATCTCATAAATATGCAAGATTACAGGTACGTCTTGCTACTTCTACTTACACTTAGGTCACACTAAACATACATGTACACGTTTATTTATACACACTCATCTGAATAAGAGGAGATGGGATAAGAGGAAAATGGTAACAACAAGTAAGAGGGAGGTGAAGGTGTATAAACTAAGGGAGGAGGAAGTTCGGGTGAAATATAAGCTACTATTGCCAGAAAGGTGGACTGGTGCAGGTATGAGTAGTGAAGGGGGGGGGAGGTTTGATGAGGGTTGGAATAGTTTTAAAAATGCAGTATTAGAATGTGGGGCAGAAGTTTGTGGTTATAGGAGGGTGGGTGCAGGAGGAAAGAGGAGTGATTGGTGGAATGATGAAGTAAAGGGTGTGATAAAAGAAAAAAAGGTAGCTTATGAGAGGTATTTACAAAGCAGAGGTGTTATAAGAAGAGTAGAGAATATAGAGAGTAAAAGGAAGGTGAAGAGAGTGGTGAGAGAGTGCAAAAAGAGAGCAGATGATAGAGTGGGAGAGGTACTGTCAAGGAATTTTAATGAAAATAAGAAAAAAAATTTGGAGTTAAACAAGTTAAGAAATCCTAGGGCACAAATGGATTTATCAGTTAAAAATAGAGAAGGGGAGTTAGTAGATGGGGAGATGGCGAGAATATTTTGAGGAACTTTTAAATGTCGACGAAGAAAGGGAGGCGGTAATTTCATGCACTGGCCAGGGAGGTAAATCATCTTTTAGGAGTGAAGAAGAGCAGGATGTGAGTGTGGGGTAGGTGCGTGAGGCATTACGTAGAATGAAAGGGGGTAAAGCAGCTGGAATTGACGGGATCATGACAGAAATGTTAAAAGCAATGGGGGACATAGTGTTGGAGTGGTTGGTATTTTTGTTTAATAAATGTATGAAAGTGGGGAAGGAACCTAGGGATTGGCAGAGAGCGAGTATAGTCCCTTTATATAAAGGGAAGGGGGACAAAAGAGATTGTAAAAATTATAGAGGAATAAGTTTACTGAGTATACCAGGAAAAGTGTACGGTAGGGTTATTACTGAAAGAATTAGAGGTAAGACAGAATGTAGAATTGTGGATGAGCAAGGAGGTTTTAGAGTGGGTAGGGGATGTGTAGATCAAGTGTTTACATTGAAGCACATATGTGAACAGTATTTAGATAAACGTAAGAAAGTTTTCAACGCATTTATGGATTTAGAAAAGTCATATGATAGAGTGGATAGGAAAGCAATGTGGCAGATGTTGCAGGTATAAGGAATAGGTAGTAAGTTACTAAATGCTGTAAAGAGTTTTTATGAGGATAGTGAGGCTCAGGTTAGGGTATGTAGAAGAGAGGGAGAATACTTCCCGGTAAAGGTGGGTCTTAGACAGGGATGTGTAATGTCACCATGGTTGTTTAATATATTTACAGATGGGGGTTGTAAAAGAAGTAAATGCTAGGGTGTTGGGGAGAGGGGTGGGATTAAATTATGGGGAATCAAATGCACAATGGGAATTAAAACAGTTACTTTTTGCTGATGATACTGTGCTTATGGGAGATTCTAGGGAGAAATTGCAAAGGTTGGTGGACGAGTTTGGGAGAGTGTGTAAAGGTAGAAAGTTGAAAGTGTCTCAGTAGTATCAGTTCCCAGTAGTACCAGTTACCAGTAACCAGTTACCAGTGGTATGACTCACTACCAACCGACTGTGTGAATCACTGACTGTTATTCACGTTGAAGCTGACCATAGCATGTACTTGAGTGCCACTCACCCCTAGGCATCACTGGTGAGTCAGTCTTAAAGAGCAGAGAGGCAGGGCGGGCCTGTGCTTCCCATATTTTCCGTTATAATTATATGTACTAACCTGCCTACGTGAGTGTTCTTACCTAATCCACGTTTTGAACCCCCACATGACAAGTGAACATAGAAAAGAGTAAGGTGATGAGGGTATCAAATGATTTAGATAAAGAATAATTGGATATCAAATTGGAGAGGAGTAGTATGGAAGAAGTGAATGTTTTCAGATATTTGGGAGTTGACATGTGAGCGGATGGATTTATGAAGGATGAGGTTAATCATAGAATTGATGAAGGAAAAAAGGTCAGTGGTGCACTGAGGAATATGTGGAGACAAAAAACATTATCTATGGAGGCAAGGAAGGGAATGCATGAAAGTATAGTGGTACCAACACTCTTATATGGGTGTGAAGCTTGGGTTGCAAATGCTGCAGCAAGGAGACGGTTGGAGGCAGTAGAGTTGTCCTCTCTAAGGGCTATTTGTGGTGCAAATATTATGCAGAAAATTCAGTGTGTGGAAATTAGGAGGTGTGGAGTTAATAAATGTACAGTATTAGTCAGAGGGCTGAAGAGGGGCTGTTGAGGTGGTTTGGTCATTTAGAGAGAATGGATCAAAGTAGAATGACATGGAGAGCGTATAAATCTGCAGGGGAAGGAAGGCGGGGTAGGGGTCGTCCTCAAAAAGATTGGAGGGAAGGGGTAAAGGAGGTTTTGTGGATGAGGAGCTTGGACTTCCAGCAAGCGTGCGTGAGCGTGTTAGACAGGAGTGAATGGCGACAAATCGTATTTGGGACCTGACGAGCAGTTGGAGTGTGAGAAGGGTAATATTTAGTGAAGGGATTCAGGGAAACCGGTTATTTTTATATAGCCGGACTCGAGTCCTGGAAATGGGAAGTACAATGCCTGTACTTTAAAGAAGGGGCTTCGGATATTGGCAGTTTGTAGGGATATGTTGAGTATGTTTATACGTATATGCTTCTAAGCTGTTGTATTCTATGTTAATACACTACTGTTATTGTTGTTCTTGGTTTACCGGTACTCTTCCGGCCCGGGACTTGTGTGTGTGTGTGTGTGTGTGTGTGTGTGTGTGTGTGTGTGTGTGTGTGTGTGTGTGTGTGTGTGTGTGTGTGTGTGAGTGTGTGTATCATGTGGGAGTTCGACACGTGGATTAGGTAAAGAAATACTCACGCAGGCTGGTAGTACGTATAATTACAGATAATGTGGAGAGAGCCCTTACAGTCGTTACCTTGTCTCCTTGCTCCTCTCGTAACACTGACTGCCTGGCCGCCCACAGTACCCATATGTGAGGGGGTCTTCGTACACTGACTGCCTGGCCGCCCACAGTACTCATATGTGAGGGGGTCTTTGAATACTGCCAGGTCAGCACATGAGTTCAGACAGTGACTCAGGCAGAGACGGTTGGTCGTGAGTCAACTGGCACAGTGGTTACTGGTAACTGGTTACTACTACTGAGATGTGTGTGTGTGTGTGTGTGTGTGTGTGTGTGTGTGTGTGTGTGTGTGTGTGTGTGTGTATGTGTGTGTGTATGTGTGTGTGTATGTGTGTGTGTATGTGTGTGTGTATGTGTGTGTGTGTGTGTGTGTGTGTGTGTGTGTGTGTGTGTGTGTGTGTGTGTGTGTGTATGGTGTGTGTGTGTATGTGTGTGTGTGTGTATGTGTGTGTGTGTGTGTGTGTGTGTGTATGTGTGTATGTGTGTAGTGTGTGTTGTGTGTATGTGTGTGTGTGTGTATGTGCGTGTGTTGTGTGTGTGTGTGTGTGTGTTGTGTGTGTGTATGTGTGTGTGTATGTGTGTGTGTATGTGTTGTGTATGTGTGTGTGTATGTGTGTGTATGTATGTGTGTGTGCGCGCGCGTGCGCGCATGCGTGTGTGTGTGTACTCACCTATTTGTGGTTGCAGGGGTCGAGTCTTAGCTCCTGGCCCCGCCTCTTCACTGGTTGCTACTGGGTCCTCTCTCTCCCTGCTCCATGAGCTTTATCAAACCTTGTCTTAAAACTATGTATGGTTCCCGCCTCCATTACGTCACTTTCTAGGCTATTCCACTGCCTGACAACTCTATGACTAAGAAATACTTCCTAACATCCCTTTGACTCATCTGAGTCTTCAACTTCCAATTGTGACCTCTTGTTTCTGTGTCCCCTCCCTGGAACATCCTGTCTTTGTCCACCTTGTCTATTCCGCGCAATGTCTCCCTTGACCCTCCTGTCCTCCAGTGTCATCAGGCCGATTTCCCTTTACCTTTCTTTATACGACATTCCCCTTAGCTCTGGAACTAACCTTGTCGCAAACCTTTGCACTTTCTCTAATTTCTTGATGTGCTTGATCAAGTGCGGGTTCCAAACAGGTGCTGCATACTCCAGTATGGGCCTGACGTACACGGTGTACAGTGTCTTGAACAATTCCTTACTAAGGTATCGGAACGCTGTTCTCAGGTTTGCCAGGCGCCCATATGCTGCAGCAGTTATCTGGTTGGTGTTGGTGTTTTGTATGTGTGTGTGTGTGTGTGTGTGTGTGTGTGTGTGTGTGTGTGTGTGTGTGTGTGTGTGTGTGTGTGTGTGTGTGTGTGTGTGTGTGTGTGTGTGCACGTGCGTGGTCTCTCTCTCTCTCTCTTTTCCAAGCAGATGTTGACAACCAAGTGAAAGCTTTCACTGGACACATCCTAATCTACAAGAACACATCCCTCACTGGGAATGTGACAAAGCCTACAGATAAGCCTTGGTTTGGCTTTTGTTGTAGAGGATGCTACTGCTAAATACAAGGCATGGTGAAGGTATAAAGAGACATCTTACCATCTATAACAGAACT